TCTATTTAGGGAGGAAAAGGGGTTTCTTGTTGACCTGGTGGTTAGGGTGAGGGTGATCAATGGTTGCGGTGAGGGATGAAGCTAGAGTGGTTCACGACGGTTTAGGGTGGTGCAGCTGGTTAGGGTTTACCTAACATAATCCTACAAAATTGATTTTGTATAATAAGGATTGTATTTACCTATAGACTATAATGTTATCGTATCTCTAGTCGATGTCAGATTTCATCAATATCTTTCACCTTGAAGAAGATTTTTCATCATACCTTCTTATCTTTAGGATGATTTTTTCATCAGTCCCTCATCTCAAAGGACATTTTTTCATCATACCCTCTCATCTCAAGTGAAATTTTTTTCATCACACCCCGTTCACCTCAAAGAGGATTTTTTCATCAAATGTCAAGACAAACACGAGTGTTAGGAATATTTTTTATTACGGTTATTTTAGATTTTCTATGTCAATTATACAACAATATAGATGTAGGCAACATAAAAAGTATAAACTTTCTATGTTAGTTGTTAAATAACCGATATGATAAATACTTACTATGTCGGTTCTTAATATAATCATCATAGACATTGTTGTGTTAGTTTTTTTTTCTTTTTTTACATATTCATATTTCTCACAAATATTTTATTAAATAGTTTCAATACAACAACAAATTTTGAAAATTAAATACAAGCATAATGCATATGAAAAACTATTAAACATAAAATATAGATAATTCTAACTTAAGTTGGATGAAAAATTATACATAATAGAACGAATTTATATTAACAATTATAATATAACATATATTAGAATATTCTATTAACTAAATCATGAAATACAAATTAATACAAAAAAATGAGACAATATTTTCCAATATTACCTTTGTTATAAAAAAGGATGAAGCAAAATTGTGGGAAGTGGTGGTGCAAGCATGAGAAAGACAAAAATAGATGAATGTGATGATAAGAATATGAAACAAAAAGAAAGAAGAAGCTGAGTGGAGTTCTCTGACATGCAAGGGAAAAAAATAGAAAATGAAGAAGATGAAAAAGATAAAATAAATTTGGAAAATTTAAATATGGACACTTTATATGACAATTCAATTTTGAACCACCATGATAAGTACTTTTTATGTCGGTTCAATTTTTAACTGTCATAGTAAGTATTTACTATAACAGTTCAATTTTTAATCGACATAAAAAATTACCTATATTTAAAATTGATAAAGTCACTTTTTATTTCAATTTAAAATTGAAACATTATAATAAGTACTTATTATGACAATTCAATTTTGAAATGATATAAAAAGTTACTTATTAGGTCATAATAAATACTTTTTATATCAATTCAAAATTGAACCGTCATAATAAATAAGTTTTAATTACAAAATTATCACCGTCCAACTTATTATGACGGATAAATTATATATGTCATAATAAATTCTCATAAAATACCATTTTTGTATTTGTAAAAGTAAAATTTTGTTGCATCCAACCATATTATATACTTATGTACTACTTCATGATGCAATGTCACAAATATACATTATTTCATTTGAATTATGAAATATGTAAGTAAACTCTTAAGATGGTATAATCATGTCAAATAAATGAAGTGTGTCTACTAAGATGAAAAGATTTATGACATGTAAAACACATATTATACTAAATGGGAAAAGTAAAATAAACTAAATTTATGTTTGTTAGCACGACTTCTCCATAACCCATGATAGACTAAGTTATGCTTGTTAGCACAAGTTCACGAATAAACTAAAGTCGTGTTTGATAGCATGACTTCTCCACTATTCATGATACTACTTTAATGTTATGCTTAGTAAAATGACTATGCAATAACATTGAAGTTGTGCTTTCATGCATGACTTTAGAGTAAGATACTCGATATTAAAGTCATACTACTTGTATAACTTTTATTATTTTTACTATGAAGCAAGTTGAGTAAGACATACTTATTACTACATCTAGTACTCTATAAATTGGAAAAGAAGGACGAAACTAGAAAAAACTTAAGGTGTTATAATCTCCTCAAAATTTTAAATTTCAGTAATTTTAATATATAATTTATAATTTCTATTTCACTATTTAAAAAAAAACATATTTTCTTTGTTTTAAGCTAATGAATAACATTTCCTTGAAATGATAAATATTTTTGAGAAAATTAACAATAGAAAAATTCTCAATAATATAATATAAATCAATCATAAAAAAGAATATGAGATCATTTTCAACCTAAAATATTAGGTAATTAATTTTTTTCACTCATTAATTATCCAATTTTATTATTGTAAATTTTTTACTTACACTTAAATTCGAAATTTTGAACTCTCAAAGCCGCAACTAACATAAGAGAGCGTTGACTGAATATCTTCACGCGGGATCTTTATGTGAAGGAGTGATTTGGATGCTAAGTGTCCCTATATAATAACTTCGACCATGCCTCTTCTTCCTCACTTCATTTTCCATCATAGGGTTTAATATTTCTTTCTTCAGTTCTGATTTTTGTAATAATCCACTTTCATCAAATCTCTACCCCAAATCTAATAATTGGAGTCTTATTTGACAAATACTGTCTATTTTAGTTTAACTATAATATTATACTATATATTAATTATATTCTACATTATTATACTATATATTCAATGTATTAGACTGTTTTATACATATTTAATATATAATAAGATGATTATATCTCTCTTTATTTAATTATATTAAACTGTTTATATATATATATATATATAAATAAATAAATAAATAAATAAATAAATAAATAAAAAGTCTATAACATCATAGGAAACTCGCAGTTATTAAAATTCGTTCTACAAAGTCTAAAAATTTAAAACAACTCATTGTATAGTGTGCAAGTTTAGCATTTGACCAAAATTAAAATATTTTTTTAAAATATAATTTTAATATGTAAAATATCATTTATTTAAAAAATATATGTGAAATAAAAAATTATTTTTTTAAATTGTAATATAATTTTATATCTTAAATCATCTTAAAAATATTTTTCTACAATCTATTTACTAATTTTATCATTTTGTGCTGAATAAAAGTATTATATCACTAACAATCATTAAATCAAATATATTATAATATGTTATTTATAGTATTATATTTTTATATTAAATTGTAAAAATTCCTGCATGAATATGCAGAATCGCAAATAAACTAATTTATCTCTCAGGATATGCTAACCAGACTAGACAAAATCTATAAAATTTTAAAATTTCCTAAACTTTAAAAGAAACTCAAATATCACATTTACAAAAAGTCAGATTTTTTTTTATCAAAATCATAAATTTTTGTTTATGGATAAATTATAAATTTATGAATATTTTAAAAAATTACAAATTTATAATATTTAAATAAAATATGATTCTTTAACAATAAAAAAGGAATATTTTATAATATAATTTTATTTTTTTAATAATATAATTTTCATACAAATATATATAAAATTTGTAATATCAATATCATTTTTAATTTTTATATTATGATAAAAATTATTATATTATTTAATAATAATATTTTTATATTATCAATAATAATAAACCATATGATAAATCAGGCCTTGATATATAAATTTGTAATTTTTTTAAAATTTATTCATTTTATTAAATCAGAGAAAAAATTACACCATTTTAACAAAAAACAAAACCCAAAAAAATAATTTGTAATGCCATAGATGACATGTGAATGTGATGTGAACTTTCACTGCACTGTGCTGTACCTCATTTTGCAGTACATGTGCATTCAAAAGACAGATTGAGCCAATCTTAATTCCTCATAATATTGTATTACTTGGCTCACACAAACCAGACATGTGCATTCAAAACTTCAACCCTCCCATCCCACACACTGTACGGAAGAAAGGATGAGAAGTAACAGATTGTGGAAATCAAAATGTTCTCTCTTCCACTTCTCAATGTCAGAAAATTGTTTATCTGTGTAGGCAAGAAAAAAAAAGATAGTGTGAATGAAAATATATAAGAAATAGAGTGAAAAATGTAAATATTTTGGTTTAAGATAAATATAAGAAAAGGTACTTGGTTTGACTTTGAAGGGTGTGCATATTTAACTCCTGGCAAAGGAAAATTCAAGTAAATATGATAACAAAGAAGGTTTTAATGAAAGTTTTTAGAAGTAGCTTAAGTGAAAAGTACATTTCTCTTTTTGTAAAAGGAGATTTTACAGAGAGAAGGCTACTTCATTTTATTGGAAGTTTGTACATGGTAGTAGAACATGATGATTCTATTCACTAACAGATTTTAACTTGTTGCTGGTGTTAGATGGAGTTGAAGGTGACGAAGAAGAAACAGAGGAATATCGAAAGAGGAAAATGCGTGAGCGTAGATGCATCTAAACAGAATCACGTTGCGTATAAATTGGTGACATGTGAAGTGTGTTAGATGTGAAAACAAAAACAATTACTAGACACAGTTGTAAGCAGAATCACGAGCCCATGTGATTGGGAGTACAAAACAACACATAATTCAAAAATATTCAGCGTATCCGAGGACCCGCCACCGACACCATTTCCCTCTTCTCCCCTTTCATAATCAAATAAATTACTCTCTATATTCTACATATAACTGCATTTCTAGAAATATTTTTTATTTTAGGTTTAGTTTTTAAATTATTAAAATACACTCAAAACCATGAGTTGGACCTTTAGGTTTGTGTTGTTTAATTGGTGTGGATGGTGGTAGAGAAAAGAAAGAATAATATTGGTGTGGGCTACCGACTTTTCCACTATTTTGATTTTACCCTTTACGGCTATATTCATTTGAGTGTAGTCTTTCTCTCTCTCTTTCTCAATTTGCCTGTCCCGCACTAAACTTCAATTTAAATGTGAATTTGTATTCATCCATCTTCAGTCACTCCATTTGTGCATTTCATTTCTTTTCTTTTCTTTTTCTTTCTTCTCTCCATTTTCACTTCATTCATCCATCAGTTAGTGAGTGAGGCAGCAGAAGAGGCACAGAGCGAAAATGTCGCTGAACATAGTGACTGTGTTGTTTTCTTCTCTCTTTGCCATGGCTGTTGTCGCTGAAGATCCCTACAGGTTCTTCAACTGGAATGTTACCTATGGAGACATTTATCCGCTTGGTGTTCGCCAACAGGTTCTTCTTCTTGCTTCCACTTTCATGTTTGTGTTGTGTTGTGGGATCTCATTTCGCAGTACTCATCATACTCATACACATACAGGGAATACTCATCAATGGTCAATTCCCAGGTCCAGATATTCATTCTGTTACCAATGACAACCTCATCATCAATGTCTTCAACAGCTTGGACCAACCATTTCTCCTATCCTGGTACATTCTCGCTTCCATTTTTCTTTCTTTTCTTTTCCCCTTCTAATGAACAAGATTCTTATGCTTATGTCATGGACAAGATGATATTGACTTTTGGATTTTCTAAAAGATTGGTTCACATGAGCATGTTGTTGTTGTGTGTGTGAGTACACATTGAAATTTGGACGTCTGTAGAGTCACATGCCCTGTAAGATGTAACTGAAAAGTGAGAATTATGATAAAAAAGTTCACATCCTACACTTTCTAAGGGGCATGCCTCAACCTGCCAATTCTTCCCACATCCATCCAGATCTATTTATTAAAATATATAACAAAACAACTTACCATTTTTTATGCTTTAAAAAAAATATATATATATATATATATATATATATATAATTATATTTTAATTAAATTGAAATAAATTTTTGGATCAAATTAGTTTTAGAAAAAATATATAATATTTTTTAATTATTTTTTTCTTTATTTTATATTAATTACATTAATTTTAAATAATTATTTTTTTAATATATTTTAATTTTATTTTATCTATTATTTAATGTATTTTATATTTATAATCTTTATTATAATTTATGATCAAATTTATTATTTTTAAAAATTATTATTAATAAATTTATTATATATTTATTATATTATAAAAATATTATAATATGATGGTACTCAAATTCAACCTTTAAATTTTAAACTTATCATCACATCATCCCTTCATTTTTTAAAAACATTGTTTAATACGAAAATTTATTTAAAATAAATAATATATATATATATATATATATATATTATAGCATCAATATTCATTTTATATGTTAAATTTAATTTATATACAGTGTTTTTATACCATATGTACGAGGTTATAAAAGTTTATATTATCTAATAAATAATTATTTTTAATTAGGATTAGCTTACTTTGTTACGTATAAAGAGTTACTAAGATGAATAATTTTAGATACAGACGAAATTTATTTGATTGCAATTATAAATTCATCTGATAGAAATAGTTTTTTTTTTTTTTTTACATTTTACTTTTAATATTGTTGGAACCGAAAGGGCAAAATGTATATGGGATTATAGTGGGAGATGAAACATAGTGATTGTTCAGATTGGGAGTGGTAAACAAAAGTTATTATTCCTTATAATGGCAGTTTGGTTTTCTACATGGGGCAAATCACAATGTAAATGATGTTGGATTGTTCTTGGAAATAAGAAGATGAAATAGTCCATGATTATTAGTTTGATTTTCTGTTATTGCTTAGCCAGGTCAATAATTTATTTTGTGGGGCCATTTACTTTATTTGTGCTTGGCTGTTCTCCGCTGGAGATTGGGATGGAATGGATCATCATCACTTTGATTTTTCTTTAAGCCACTGAAAATAACAACCTTCACTTTTTAATTATCATATATTACGACATCCAACTAATCCATTCATTAAGAAGCCTTTAATCTCTGTTTCCCAACTAACCCATTTATTTTAAAAAAATCTTAAATGATATTTAAAAGAAAGAGTTTAAAACTAAAATTTCTTGCATGTAATAAAAGAGTAGTAAATATAAAATAGTAATCTGATTGATAATATTGTGGTTAATTGGAAACACAGGAACGGAGTGCAGCAGAGAAGGAACTCATTTGAAGATGGGGTTTTTGGAACAACATGTCCCATTCCACCAGGTGGGAACTTCACATACATACTTCAAGTGAAGGATCAAATTGGAAGCTTCTACTACTTCCCATCTCTTGCATTCCACAAAGCTGCTGGTGCATTTGGAGGTATTAGAATTTTGAGCAGACCTAGAATCCCAGTCCCTTTCGATGATCCTGCTGGTGATTACACTGTACTAATTGGAGATTGGTACAAGTTCAACCACACGGTAATATTACAGAATCATTAATTTTCTTTGGCTCTTTTTTTGTTAAGGGTCAGCTCCAGCCACATGGATGGATGGATTGATGGCCTATCTATCCACAACTAACACATGGCTTCCTATGTGTCATCACTACCTGTCAATTGTCGCGCAGCTGGCTATGTGGCCTCAACTCAATTCAAATCCCAACTAATTTTTTCCATGCATTACTCATTCACACATACAACTAACTCATGAGAAAAGGTGGATGTTAGCTAGCAAATGTTATAGTAAGAAAATTAGCTACTAATAAATCAGAAACTTTCATCCCTCTTAAACAGATCAACTTCTTATTTTATTCTTTGCCTGAGATGTGTTTCTACGCAGCCTTTCATTAATTTTTTTTATTCCTTAATGTACAGCTTTTGTTTTGTTGGTGTTTGAAATATAGGGAATTTGATTGGATATATGGTGACCCTTCTGTTTTTATTATTTTACAGGATTTACAGGCTCTTCTTGATAGAGGTAGTAAGCTGCCTTTCCCTGATGGAATACTCATTAATGGTCGTGGCTCTAACGGAGCATCTTTCAATGTGGAACAAGGTATGTATGTCTAAATCAAACCACTTACATAATCCAACAACCTTGTCTTGTTTTAGTTACCTTCCTTTGTCTTGTTTCTTGTTTCATGATTAGTTTCCACTCTTGAAAGAAAAACAAACTTGTACATAACCCAACCTAACCTAAGCAAGAGAAACTTATGAGAGAAATAAATAATTTATGTTCTGGGGCACACACAGGAAAGACGTACAGGCTTAGAATATCGAATGTGGGGTTGGAAAATTCCCTGAATTTCCGCATACAGAACCACAAATTAAAGCTGGTAGAAGTGGAAGGAACACACACGGTTCAAACAACGTACTCATCCCTTGACGTGCACGTGGGCCAGTCTTACTCTGTTCTGGTTACTGCGGATCAACCTGCTCAGGACTACTACATTGTGGTCTCATCTCGATTTACCTCTACGGTTCTCACTTCCACTGCCATTCTTCGCTACAGCAACTCTGCAGGCCCAGTATCAGGCCCCCCACCTGGTGGACCCACCACCCAGATTGATTGGTCTTTGAACCAGGCCCGCTCAATCAGGTATTTTTATCAAATTTATTACTTTTGCGTATGCTCCATGAAGTGAAACTGAGGATATATGATTGCTTCAGGACGAACCTGACAGCAAGTGGACCTAGGCCAAACCCGCAAGGGTCGTACCACTACGGTATGATAAACACGACGAGGACTATCATACTTTCGAGTTCAGCTGGTATAGTGAATGGCAAACAAAGATACGCAATTAACAGCGTGTCTTACGTTGCTCCAGACACTCCTCTTAAGCTCGCCGACTACTTCAAAATCCCAGGTGTTTTCCGTGTGGGAAGCATTTCTGACAGACCCACTGGCGGTGGCATTTACCTTGACACTTCTGTTATGCAAACCGACTACAGAACATTTGTGGAGATTGTCTTCCAAAACGACGAAGACGTCATTCAGAGCTATCATCTCGATGGCTACTCTTTCTTTGTGGTCGGGTGAGTCAGCACAAATCATTTTGAATAGAAACCATCGGATTTCATCTTTTACTTTTATTGAAGTTGTGAAAATAACATTTGTATTGTGTGTGGGTAGTATGGATGGAGGACAGTGGTCAGCTGCTAGCAAGAACCAGTACAATCTTCGAGATGCAGTTTCACGGTGCACCACTCAGGTGCGAATAATAGACATTGTGTTAACAGTAGAGTATATGCTAAGCAGATATTTGATAATGTGTCATTATTGGTGCAGGTTTATCCCAAGTCATGGACTGCAATCTATATTCCGCTTGACAATGTGGGAATGTGGAACTTGAGGTCTGAATTTTGGGCACGGCAATACCTTGGCCAACAGTTTTATATGCGCGTTTATACAACATCAACCTCAATCAGAGATGAATATCCAGTTCCAAAGAATGCACTGCTTTGTGGTAGAGCAAAGGGGAGACACACTCGACCCCTTTGAGCTGGCAAGCAAGCGCATTGGAATGAATATGAAAAGCAGATAACTTTTCTGCTTCTGATTTTGAATTTATTTGTTTCGGTAATTTATGATACTGATGGTATAATTGTGATGAACATGTATGATTTAAACTACAAAATGACCCCAGCTCGAGGTCACATTCTTTCCCAGAAGAAAACAGAAGAAATATGCAATATTCTATTCTCTTTGTAATTTTCCGAAATTTGCTATTATTATTACATATTATTGTTACCATTTAGCACTTTGCAAGTGTAATTCATTTATCATTGATAGTTTCTTCTCTAATTAATTTCTACTCTGAAGTTAGTTGAATACGTGGAGTCCTTTACATTTTACACGTTGAAACACATAACTTTAATTTTTAGCATTTAAACCGTGACATTAACTATCGATATTAACCATAGATATTGTACCATTACGTATCTATGACGTTGATAATGGACCGAGTTCTTGTTAGTTGGAGATAAATTTGAGTATTGACTTACACAAAGATTGATCCTCTTATAGTTCTTCCAAAACCTCAAAAATCAGTTGTTGAACATTCTTACTATAGTAATGATAGTGGTAGAGTATGTGCTTGCAAAGAACAAAAGATAGGTAACAGAGACTCATCATAAAAAAACGAAAACAAAATATTTTATTTCTGTATGAGAGGAGAATTGTACATTGAAGATAACAAAAGAGATATAGATATATAAAAAACATAAACTAAAGAAAATGTTAAAACAAAAAAAATGGTTGATACACTAGGTGTGAGAGGTTTGTACTTAGATGCTGGGGTTATGGTTGAGAAGATTATTATTTTGATAGCCCCTAAATCCGAGAGTGTATATTAAGTATTCTAAACTTGGATCATAAACTATGAAAATTGAAGGTGATAAAACTTTGGTTAGTATGTCTACATGCTAATTTTTAGAATCGATAGATTAAAGATTGATAATCCTCTGTTGAAGCTTTTCTCTAACAATGTGACAGTCGATTTCGATATGTTTAGTGCGCTTGTTAAAAACTTGGTTGGAGGTAATCTGTATGACAGATTGGTTGTCGCCGAATAGAAGAGTAATTTGAGAGTGTTATGTTTGAAGATCTTGAAGGAGGTAGATGATCCATTGTAATTAGCAAGTAGTGGAAGCAAGAGCTTTGTACTCAACTTTTGATGAACTTCTAGATACAATGCTTTTCTTCTTTGATCTCCAAGCAATAAGGGAGTGACCAAGATAAATAGTGTACCCAATGATAGATTTCCTAGTTTTTGGGCATCCAACCTAATCAGAGTCGTTGAAACCTTTAACCTTTATCTCACTATCTACAGCGAAGAAAATGCCTTGACTAGGGTTTTGTTTGAAATAACGTAGAACACAAAAAGAGACCTGATGATGCATAGTGGTAGGACCAACAACATACTAGCTTTGCATACGATCAAGCAGAGGTTCTCCACTATTAGTTATTATATGCTTAGAGAAATTTATAGGAGTGGAGACGCGAGTAAAGGCTAGCATTTCAGCTTCATGTAGGTGGTCTAAAGTATATTTATTTTGAAAAAGATGTATACCTTTGTTGCTCCTTGTCACCTCAAGACCAAAAAAATAAGTTAAATCTCCTATATTTTTAAGTTTGATGGACTGATCTAGCATAATAGTAGTATTGTTTATTTTTGTGATATTGTTTTATGTCAAAATTATGTCACCTACATAAATTAATAAAGTAGTAATGTTGTAACTAGTAATCTCGATAAATAGAGAATGATCAACACTGACTTACTTAAAATAATGAGAAATCAAAATGGTAGAGATTTGTCTGGTTCAGTTTTGTTGACTTTATACCTAGTGGAAATTACATATAGACATCTTCATTTAGATCTCAGTGAAGAAAGACATTGTTCATATCCATCTATTTCAAATGTCATATTATTCACAAGGACTAAGGACAATAAAAGATGAATGGTAGTCAATTTTGCAATTGGGGAGAAAGTATCAAAAAAATCCTTCCATTAATGATCCAGGTTTTGTTCCTTTGAAGAGCTAGAATATCTTCGTTCATAGTCTTTCTCCATTTGTCATCTTTAGTAGCATCCGCATAGTAGGTAGGTTCTGTGTTACTGTCAGTAGTAGAGATAACCTTCCTAAAACTAGGTGAGATTTTTGAAAAGGAAACAAAGGCTTCAATTGGGTATCTGACATTTTTAACATGGTTAGAGGAAGTAGAAAAAGTACGATAATCTTTCAAATATGAAGGTGGATTTCGAATCTTGGTGGCACACTAAAGAGAAACATGTTCAATGTCATAATGAGCATCATTATGTTAAACTATATCATTAGTGATGTTCTCATTTATAAGATGCAAATTTTCAAAAACATTATCAGTCAAATCAATAAGGTAAATATGAGAAACAAACAAATAAATTTAAGAGAAATCAATATCTTTATTATACTTTTTAGAATAAGGAAAAATCCCTTCATGAAAAATAATATTTCGAGAGACACTTATATTATGAGTTTTAAGATAAAAAACAACGTACCCTTTTTTTATATTAGGCTTGAATCCCAAAAATATGCTAGTATTGGCATGGAGGTCAGGCTTGTTTCTATTAGCAGTTAAAGTGCTAATGTAACACAAGCATCCAAAGACATGGATATTGTTAAAATCACATTTTTCATTGTATAATCTTTCAGAATGAGAAGAATTTTTTAGAAAATGTGTGGGAATCCAGTTCATTAGATAAGCAACATAACTAACTGCATGACACCAAAATCGAGTAGGAACATTAGACCTGAAAAGGAGAGCCCGTATGACATTCATGAGATGTTGATGTTTCCTCTCCACAATTCTATTTTGTTTTGGTGCTTCAACATAACTTGTTTGATTTACAATTCCCTCAAAATTGAAAAAATCTTTCATGTTAAATTCTGGACTGTTATCACTTCTCACAATGTTAATAGTTCTTTCAAATTGGTTCTTAACAAAGATTATGAAATTAATAAGGTTTTTGTGAGTTTAGATTTATTATTCATAAGATACAACCATGTGAAACCAAAATTGTCATCCACAATAGTAAGAAAATATCTATATGCATGCAATGAAGGAATAGCATAAGGACCCAAATGTCAACATCTATAATGTCAAAAGGCTTATCAACATGAGAAATGCTATTGGGAAAGGGTAATTTGCTCTGTTTTGCAAGATGGCAAGTGCTATAATTACCAGTCATAGTATTGTGAATGTAAGTTTATTTTTTATTTAGAATAGCTAATCTTTCATTAGACAAGTGTTTTAGTCTATCATGCCACAAATTGATACTTATACTATTACAACTTTGAGCGATATCATCAAGGTTCTTGGAACTGTTAAACACATAAAGACTAACACTAGTATTAGATATATCAATCTTCTCTTTTGTATTTGGATCCTAAACAACACAAGAATTTAAAGTGAAAATAATTTCAATATTAAGAGAAGAGGCAAGTTTCGAAATTGAAATCATATTATATCCAAAAGAGGGAATAAATAACACATATTTCAAAAGTAGATTTGTATTCAATTATACTGATCCAATATGTGTGGTAGTGACCTTAGCATTATTAAGAAGATTAACAATTATGGGATTGATTCTTTTATAAGAAAATAAATTATCAAGAGAACAAGGTTCGTAACTTCAGAGTAAAAAAATCCATGTATTAACTCTTTTAGACTCATAAAAGTTTATGATAGGAAAAGATTCACCTTGTTATGCGAATTCGAAAGTCATAGTACTGATCTAGTTAATTTAGATTTTGTATTGAAAATTTCTTTATTATTTGAGTGTAGTAAGACCATCAAAGCTTGGTATTATTATTGTGTTAAACGTACATCTTGCTCTCCAGAGGCACCATCCATCTTTGCTTCCTATTTTGTATCAACAATCTTGACAACACAACTCCTACCATTGTAAAATTTATGTCCAAGGGGGAAACCGTGTTTCCTATACAAACATCAACAATATGCCCACTTTTCCCACAGTGGGTACATTTTAATAGTAGAATTTCTGAAACTTTTGTTTTCATGATTTGAAGGAAAATCATTCTTTTTATAACATATTGATTTAGTATGCTCGATTTTACCACAATAATTCCAATTTTGAACATTGGTAGCATTCACCTTTATATCATATTCATTCAAAAAACCACTCCCCATGATTTATCGTTCCTATTGAGGTGCGTAAGAAAAAATGTTAGTGATTGGTGGAATATGATCCATCAAGAGAATGTGAGACTTATATTTTTATATTGTTCATTTAAACCCCAAAGGAACTACATTGTGTGATCTTCACTTTTTCTTTTAAAAATAAAGGTATCACACCATAGGAACATTTAACATGGCAACTACAAATAGGGTCAGGTCTAAAAATCTCAAGCTCATCCCATATAATCCTTAGTTTAGTAAAGAATTTGATTACAGTAAGGCTCCCTATTTCATGGATGAAGCTTACATCTGAATATCTGAAATGCGTAGGAGATCACTATGAAAATATCTAGATTTGAGGTCATTCCAAAATTCTTCTGCTTTATCCATCCACAATATGTTGTGATATACGGAGGGCGACATAGAGTGCATAATCCAGGAAACGACCATATTATTGCACCGCTTCCACGCTTGATACAAAGGATCTTTCTTGATTGGTTAGCTTATTTGTAGTACTCAAGGCAGTGATCATTGATTTGCTCCATGAGTGATAGTTGCTAATGTAAAAAACATGAGAAACCAAAGAAATCGCAAGGTTTTCACCATGATGGAGGTACAAGAAACTATGAAAAAAAATGTCATTAGTAGAATCCTAGAATCCCCACTCATGACGAAGGATAAAAAACAACAACAGAGAACGAAAGAGAAAATATCCGAGGAAAGAAAAAGGAAAAGAATAAGAGATCTATAATAACGCACTTTAAAAGAAACGCTCTAATACCATCTTAGAATTCTTCCAAAACCTGAAAAACTAGTTATTGAACATTCTAAACATAGTAATAAGTGATACCGTAGTCTTGCATATGCTTGCAAAGACCCAACATAAAAATGAAAACACAATGTTTTATTCCTGTATGAAAGAAGAATTGTACACTGAAGATAGCAAGAGATATAGATATATAGAATACATAAACTAGAGAAAACATTAAAATAGAAAATCGGTTGAGACGCTAAGTGTGAGATGTTTGCATTCGAGCTATTAAGATCATAATCGAGAAGATCCACTAAAAAAATATAAAAAAATAATATAGGGGTTTTTCTTAGGTTATGTAAACCTTCTTAGTTTAAACTATAAGTGTTAATTTTATATATATATATATATATATATATATATATATATATATATATATAAAATAGGAGGTTATATAAATCTTCTTCTCATTTTTAAATTAAAATCCTAAAGTTGTTCTCACACTTTATTGTTTATGCAATACATTGTTGTCAAACCTTCCTCACCTTATACTTTCACACTTGTGTTCACCGCTACCACTCTTGTGTTTATCATTGTTGTTCTAGCGTTTGTTGTTGTGTCTCTATGTTCATTATTGTCGTTCTTAAGTTAGTATATCATTGTTGTCACTATTAAGTTCGTATGTCATTGTTGTCGCTTCTAAATTCACACATCATTTGTATCACTTTTAATTTTTCACGTCGTTATTGTCACTCCTACATCAACATGTTGTCATTGTCACTTTTGTGTTCATACGTTGTCATTCCTACTTTCATATTTCAGCGTTGATGCTCCAAAATTTACACCTTGCCACTAAAGTTCTTGCATTCGCACCTTGTCATTTTCACACCTTGCTACCATCGAAAGGAATAAGAAAAGGAGGGTCTAGCTAGAAAAGAAAAGAAGACTAATTATCATTAGAAAAGTTTATATATATATATATATATATATATATATATATGTATATACTCTAGTATGTGTCTTTTCCTTTTTATTGTCTAAAAGGGGCAAAGTCCACTCGCTATTAGCTTGCAACAGGAATTAAAGCCCCTATTATATTATATTATATTATTGTTATATGATTTAAGGTTAGGAGTTTCATTGTTAGCAAGGCTATTGCTATTGTTTAGGGGCGGATCAGAAGAAAGATAGGGGCATCGGATCTAGGAGTTCATACGAATAATGGCTAACGGGATTCCGCATTCAATTAGGAGAACAACAAAAAGAAAACAGAAAACCCAACCAAGTCCTAACTACATACCTCAGAACGTCTTTCTCCCGAGGGCATGGTATGGCTTTGTTCTTGGTGTTGTTTAATAGATTTAATAGAATAGATGCATTAGCGGTTAATACGTTGTAATTGGATAAGTTATTAGGAATAGCACAATAAGAAGTGCGGGGGATGGCGATCCAATTCCTACCCTGGCTTAGACGGTTTGTAACATACCCATGCGCCCTCCTTTCCAATCACTAAGAAAAAAAAATCAATCTGAAGATGGACGGTCTTTAGGCACTCGTCGCTTTATATTGATATTAAAGCTTTTCCTCTGCAGGGGCCTTGTGCAGTAATAGAACGCTTCTTTTATCTAGTTCAGGAAGGAAGTCTGGCACTCATCTCAGTCTCAAAGCCAGTTTAGTTATAGTGGCAATTGCCAGCCTTAAATTAAAGGCCTGGTTTCGTAAATGGATCAAAATCTAGATTTTTTTTCTTTTTCTTTTATTCTCGTTCCCATAAAGCGAGTGCACCGGAAAAGAACAGGAACTGGGTCGATCTATTCTATGGCGAAGCATGAACTTATCATAGGCCTTTAGTTAGTGTTGACTCGACAATTGGCTTAAGTATAAATCTAGAGTAACTGGTGGCAATCTCCCGACTGGCGGAGAGCGGGTATTACAGGTTTAAGACAGCAGTCAGAAAAGGAAAATGGAAGAAAGTAGGATGCAGGACCTGGGACCCCCATAATTTGTATGCAAGACAATCGAATAAGTGATGACTTGACTGATCTGGAATATAAGATAAGGGTCAGAGGGTAGTACACTGTTTGGCTTAAGAGTGCCTGAATAGGCTTTTAGACTCGTTCCGTAAACTACACTCGCTATATGTTTAAGCAATCCCTCTTTCTGAAGCAGAAGAGTAGGCCTGGAAAGGATTGCTAAAATATTTTCTATTTAAATGGTTCTCGCTTCTCCTTGTTACTGTTCCTAACTCTTCCCCGGAAGCTGTCTTGAAGCCCTTTCTTTCCGGCTTCCTTGAGTTGAGTCTTGAGAACTATTCATAGTAGGAATACTCTAAAGCAGTGGTTAACTAGAAGAAGAGTCAAAGACTTTTTCGCAAGAGGGGGACTTTTTCTCTAAAGCCTACAACCCTCATGATTAGACCATGTCCCTGAGATTTGATAAAAGAAAGGTGCGAGGCTGGATAACCTAAGTAGCAATAAACATAAAAGAATGTCCAGATACACCTCCATACAGCGCATCTCCATAGGAACTAGTCCCTCAGATTTCGCACGTAGGAGATTGAGACACAGCCCCACCCCAACCCGTTATACCCCCCTTCACACTCCTATTCCACGGTCTCAATAGTCTCGCAGATGATACCTTCCCTTGCGGAAATAGTAACAGCCGCAAAAACAAAAAAAATGCATGATGTTGAAAGTTTTCAGTTACTACGATGGAAAGACTGGATAATCCTAGGATACCCTGACCTCGTCAACGCGACTAGCAGCTAGAAAGCTTAAAGTCCCACATCCGCTAAAGAGGTTGTAATTAGTAAGATAGGTTGCCTCTTTCCCCTTTCTCTAATAAGAAGGTAAGCATCCCTCACTGCCGATCTCAAGGCAGCTAAGCCAACTACACTAGTACGAAGGAGCACTTCTAGGATTTTTTTCGGCCAAGCTCGGGAACCTTCCCTTTAGTGAAAGGCTACTAAGAGGGATGACTCGCCCTTAGCCCTTGTCTAAAAAAAACCTAGCAAACTTTCCCTTAGGGTGAATGCACGAGGTGAGTGTCTTTCAATGCTTGCTTTTTTAGTTGATGGACTGGCATTGAGCATGTTGGAGAGCTTGGCCAGTCTCTCTATCGCCCTGACCTGCTTGCTAGCTTTTCGGTCTCGGTATTGGCTTACCCGCTTTCAGTTATCGCTTACACGCTACTTTTATTTGCTTCCTTCCTACTACTAAGCTTTCTTCCTATCTACGGTAGCTGACGCAGCAAGACCCGAGGAATCAGATACGGATCTTTTTCAGTCTCTTTCGCTGGGGCAAAGCAAAGAGGGTCTTAACCGAGACTCAGGTTAAGCTCCGTCTCGAAACCTTGTGGGGTTAGGAGTAAAGCATCCCGAGGTTGGCGCTATTTTTTATTACAATACATTAGCTTTGATAATACATTATATTATAAATGAATCTTCTTCACCTATTGATTTGAAGTCACTACGAAAGGGTCGGTCAATAGCATAGCTCTTTATTTCCCCAGTTTCCTTTCGAAGGAAAGGCCTTCGCATTCCTAATCCGGTAGGGGGCTTTCTTGTGGTAAGCGACTTTTCCTTTAGTTCTTTTGTGCTCGCCTTACCTTATTTTTGCATCTAGAGTGATAGCGATAGGGAGAGAACTTCATGCCTTTCCTTCCTCGGCCTTAGGTATGAGTCACTCATCCTTTGTTTTAATTATTAAGTAAGTATATGCATTGATTTGAGAATTTCTTTTGATGTATGCATTTAAAGGTCCTTTCTTGTGAAAATCAATGTAATTGTACCACTCCCCCTGACCTTCCGCCTGAATTGATAGAAGTTGGCTTGAGCTGAGCGTCTCTTACAAAAAAGGTGCCCTAGTCGCCTCGGTGGAATGCATTGAAGAAAGGAATCCACTCTCATTTGTAAAGTACCCCTCTTCCTATTTAGGGGGTTGAGGCGAGAAATGGCTTGATGAACCGTAAATTTTCGCATTTAGGGACGCTTTTTTTTTCGAAATATCATATCATAAGAGAAGAAAGGTCCACGTTGGGAAGTAGTACGCCTGGTGAACCAGGTTGGTTCTACCACTGCAGGCCCCTTAAGTTCCGTGAAAGCCTGCAGAGAGGCCTCTATTTAGTTCAGATTTGACTGTTTGCAGCATGGGAGCGGATTACCCAAAAAATCCCTGGGAACAATGAAAAAAAAGATATCTCTGCGCCAGTGAAGTAAGTCTGTCCGGAACTGGCAAATCCTAATTTATTAACCCCTTTTTTTTCCTATTTCTTTCTTTCTTTCTTTCTTTCTTTCTTATAATATAACAGGGGCTTTAATTCCTTCTGGCCATTGAAAGCTTTATGTTTTTATGATCAGAAATTTTTTCTTTATTTCCATTTCAAATTGTACTCCCGCATCCTTGGCATAGAAGCTGTGAAAGAATAGGCTGCTGGAGGAAGAACCGCCCAAAAGCGGGAGAGAAGCGGAACGGGCAAGTCAGCCAGAGCAACTTTGAGGGAAGCCAGCTCCTCATGTGACTTTGTTTGAAGGTCGGTGTCGAGGAATGGCATGGTCTCCGGGAGAAAGAAAGCCAAAGGAGCGAAAAGCACACCATCCTAGGTAAGCGGCATCTCACTCAATATACGCAATTCTCAGATCTCAAAGTCAAGTTTCTCGCTTCTTGCTTTAGTAAGATTGCAGCGTTAGCGCTTCTTGATGCTATTGACAGACTGATCTCAATTCCTTTTTTTTGGTAGGCCGACTACTAGAGGTTACTTCTAACTTCCGCTTGGGATCATGTCTTCTTAGGACTATTTTGGATGTACAATTCGCACCCATTGGACCCGAGGGACCAGGGTATAGTCCGGTCTATTTTTCCCGGTCCAATGTTCTACACAAAAGAAGGATTTCTATAAGCCCGGGGGAATTTATTCTGAAGGTCATACTCCGCCGGGTTATAAGGCCCACTAGGACCTCCTATCATAAAAAAGAAAAGGTGTAGAATACTCATCCTTCATCCTATCAAAACCTATCACCTGTGCACTCATCATCTGAAGGACAGTAAGTACCCTACTAAGAGCATCTACGGGGATGACTTGTGGCTAGGGGTGAAAGGCCAACCAAGATCGGAGATAGGACCGGCTCTATGAACACCTTTTGGCGGTGGTTTCTCGATCAACTATCTTACTTTAATGAAGAAAGACAGTCAAAACACTAGTCCTACAGGCTTGATGGGGTTCAGTCTATCTGGAGGGAATATTTTATTCTCTTTCTAGCCCCTCTACGCTTATCAACGCCTGCATTCCTTCCTTTGATTGCTTCTTGTACTCCTTCTATCTTCTATAACGCCCTAATCCCTATCTAGTCTTCTAACGTTCCCACCAAAGGGATCACCTGACCTTATCTTGAGTGAGAGAGGCAAGTATAAATATGGAAACTTCTCTGCCATTTGGATCGGAGAATTTATGGAGGAAATCGGCTTTTAAATTTCCATGCATCTTCAGCTAGCTTTCCCCCTCCGCCTACTATCTAGCTGCAATCCGTCCCTTACCTTAACCCTAATCATGCTTAAGACAGTCTTGCTTCCTTAATTAAATGGAGTTTGCTCTCACTATGCTTTCGTGATTCCGGATGGTATGTACTTATGCAATGTCTATCATCAGCACTCTTTCTTCTCTTTATGGTCTCCATGTATCAGGTATTTGATAGCAGCAACGAAATGTTGTCTGATTTATCAAAATAAGTTCAATTCTTCCATAACAATAACGGGGCAGGGTTGCGTGCGAGCCGAGTGACGGAGGTGTAGACGTAAGGAGTCTCTGAAGGTAAATAAAAGCCTATTCTTCGAGAACGAGAACATAGAGTGCCTTTCTTTTTTCAATTACAAGGACTGATTTGGAAAGAAGGTTTGAATACGAACCTGACCTAGAAGGGGCAAGCAGTGCCTACCAAGCAAAGCTTTCTGGAAGAGGCTGGGCTGGTTCCTTTTCGGCGCCCGCATTTGATTTAGATGTTGGGGCAAGGCTATAGTTTACAACTCTTCTTTATATAGTAATTCGACCTATTGCTCCTCAGATCTTTAAAGGAATGAAACTTGAACTACTAGCCCTGGGACGGGGGAAAAATATTACCATCTCCCTTCCTTATCGGACAGAAAGGAAGGCTGCTATCCGTTCGACGATCCTACTTCTGATGTCACCCCCGCCTCTCCCTCCCAGTGGAATATCCCATTCATACCCTTGAGGACCAGATTCACCCTCCTTTTTTTTCTATCTTTCTTTTTAGTGAAATATCGAACCTTTATAAAATAAAATAATCTATTAATAGCTACGTGCCAATTCATTTGAAATGGGCCTTGCCTGAGTGACTCATGATACTGGGTCAACTATGGCAGTGACTGAGGGGGACTTGTTCTGTGATAAACAAATGACATTCCTCATATTATTTGATTTAGATCCTTATCTTAGTGGCAAGATGACTTCTCAACAGGGCAGTGGTCCGCACGCACCGTCGGATCATTAAGGTCAAGTCTTTTTCGCCCTCTACGGGTAAATTCAATGCTCGCAAAATCCAACCACTTCACCTACTTCATTGCCCCCAACCGTTTCTCGTAGCCGGTTGGATCAAGCCCGAGAAATAGATCGGGTTCGTAGCCAAGAACACCCTTTCACGCTAACCCTACTTTGGAAAAAAGGAGGAATGAAATAGCTCGACTGATAAGGAGAGGAAGCAAGGCGACCAGGAATAACAGATGCCGGAATGCTTGCTTCCAGGATTGAATAGTGATTGGGCCTATCCTATCTAATTAGTGAGTGGTCCGTTCCAGTAACAGCATTCCCACTTTTATTATCACTTCCGATACTGGCAGGGGCAATAACAATGTTATTACTAAAAGCGTAACCGGCTCACCTCTCTCCGGAAACACGCCAAACCAAAGCAAACTTTCTTTGTTGTGGAAGGGGCTATTGCCTTTCTTATCGCTCTGCTTCTAGCTATTCGGATAGACCACACCTCAGAAAGAAAGTCCGCTATTCTATTCCATATCATGGCTTTCTTGTCACGAGCTGGGCTCGAACCAGCGCTTTCCAGATTAAGAATCCGGATTTCCAACCTTCTGATCGTGACTTTTGTTATAACAGTCAAGAACTTCACACCGACCATTCTTATGTATTTCAATACTACCCCAGTGACATTTGGAAGTGTTGCTGACTTAACATTTAAGTTTCGACATAACAAAGCTTGCACCTTTCTTTCACTGCTAACCCCAATCAGTAAGTTTCTTACTTAATGCTGATAAGCAAGAAGAGAAGCTACAAGCATGAGGTCTCACCTTCTTTCTTTATATTTGAATCTTTTACTGGGAGTTTCAGGGTATTGAATGATTCTTCTCCACGAGTTACTTTTCCTCCATTTCTGCCTTCTTGCCAAAGCCCAGACCATCAAAGATCACTAAAGCACCTTTTGGTATGTATTGCCCCAATATTCCCCCATGGCACACCCAGAATATGGGGCCAGAAATTGCAGAGGTGCAGGATCCGAAGCGGTGGCTGCTACAAGAATGGAATATTCTAGCATGTTAAACGAAAGCGCCGCTTTCTCTGTAGTGTTTCTGGCGATTTTTGATGTGAATTCGGCAGGTCGTCCCCCCTTCCTACGGGTTCCCCCACCAGAGCCTTTCATAGAAGAGATAGAGATAGGTCCTTGGCTATAATAGCTAATATATCTTACTAGCCTAGGGAAATTATAATGGAGGGAATAACTTGAAGCTTCTTAAGCTCACCCTATTCTGATTAGGGATGTGGATATTGTGCTTCTTGTCATCGTAATATTTCTCACGAAAGAGTGAAGCAAAGTAGGACAAGGGAGAAAGACATGGAATTGATAGGGAACCGTAGAATCACGAAAGAAGACCCTTACATTAGCATTAGAAGATAAGAATACATTAGAGCAAAAGAATGCTAAAAGAGGTGAAGAGGAAAGGAGCGAAGAGAATGTCAAATATAATATAAGATAAGATAGGCGGGGTATAGGAGAAGCCCCCACCGGCTCTACGACCCCGCAAGGCACTACTGGTTTGGGCACTGAACATGGTAGTTATAGCGAGGGGAAAGATCCATAGCAAAGAGTGATCTTTGAACGTTACGCCTTCCAACTCCATTCTCTATCCTCCAAATCAATTGCTAATTTTTTTGGGCATAGGCCACCACTTTGTTTTACGCGGATTCTTTCCATTGCCCTATGGTAAAGGTGCATTCCCTCTTTCGTTAGTCCCGCTTCGAAACCTACTCGTTATTCAATTAATTGGCTTATGGAAACCGAGCCGGTCTAGATTTTCAACGCCTCGGGAAACTGGTCGAGATATATAATGTTCAGTTTAATCCGTCTGTGAAGTCCTTCATTCTATATTATTTATTCTATTTATTATTACTTACGACTCTTGAACTTTAAGGTGGGCGAGAAGGAGATATTCACTGACTTAGAGCCTATTGGAGCCTTCGGCCTTTTACTTTCCATGCTTCGTGAAGGGCTCACTTTCGATCAAGGTCATTTATGCCTGGACTATACCTAGTGAAGGATTATTACCCCTCTTTAGTCCTATCGAAAGCAAATTGCCGAATCAACACCAGGAAGTATAGGAATGCTTTCTTTGATATGCCCTTCTTTCTTTTTGAAGGATTGGAAGTCGAAGTCGTTATGTTATAAAACATTATAAAGTTGATGATTCCCACCAAGAATTTGATCGCCGGGTCTGTCTCTTACCAGTGCCAGCCTCGGTAGATTGCGATAGTCTACCACGAGCAGATCTAATCACAAGGAGATTGGGGGCGACATGCCCTATAAGCTATGGCTCACCTAAACCAATCATCATATCGGTCCCTAGGCCCCATTGCCGAAGGAGGGCTATCCATGGCAAATTACATGATGCCTCACGGAGCTGCCGAATCCGAATTGGAGGATTTGTTTACTTATTCCATCTCTTCTCAGATAGGTCTGGGGAGCGGGAACGGAGTTTGGAAGATATCTTTAGAAAAGGTTTTAGCACCGGTGTATCCTATATGTACTCTAGTTTCTTCGAAGTATCCCAATGGTGTAACGCCGTCGACTTATTGGGAAAAAGGAGGAAAATCACTTTTCTCTCCTGTTTCGGAGAAATAAGTGGCTCACGAGGAATGGAAAGAAACATATTCTATTTGATCTCGAATTCAGACCGGGCCAAGCCTTTAGTTTAAGTAGGTTTGGGCTAGGTCGTTGCGCTCCTGCCACGTCTTGGCAAAAAAGTAGGCTGATGGGCAAGCCTCCTCCTGCCGCAATGGTGTGGGGCGTCAGAGGCTGTTGAGGATCACTTCGGAACTCTAGGAAAATGGGCGTTTGAGGGCGGGATGAGAGCCCTCGCTTGAAGAAGCTTATTGTGATGAACCTTTCTCGGTGGAAGAAATCCATAGCAATGGATTCCTATGAAGCATTCAGGAACAAGAAGATTCAATCGGACGACGAATTCTTACGTGGTCCAAGGAAATCAATAAAAGGTCCGCTTCCACGATCCCAGCGGGTAGAGGAGCACGCAACTGAAAAACTTTAATTATTTGCATAAGTAAGTCTGGCTTGCTTAGAAAGGAAATGGAATTATTTGAAAGAAAGTCTTTCCGCTTCGCTCCTTATTAATTTGCCGAGCCCTTCTCGCCCGGGACCCGCCGCTCCGGCCCCTACTTCCGATTCCAGTAGTTAGTAAGTAAGCGGCGGTCTAACGACCCCCTACCCTAGGTTGGAGCTAGGCTAATTTCCACTGTTAACCAAAGCGCTAATCTCTTCTAAGCCCTTACCCTGCTAACTCTTTGAAATAAAGTCAACCTCTTTCATACTTTCATATAGGGGAAAGATTCATTTTATCATATATATATATACTCTAGTATGTGTCTTTTCCTTTTTATTGTTTCCTGTAATTAGTCCTTATGCATGAAGAGTATTGTGCTATATTATTTACATTCAAAGCTTTAGTAATGATTACATAATTAATTTACTATGCTCATACCAATACTAATAATAATAAATAATAAAGATAAGTGAGATATTTATTTTTAGTTGAAGAAAAAGTAGGATGATAATATGTATTTACAATTTTGTAACAAATTAGGATGAATATGATTGTGTTTGAAATTTTATTCTTTTGTAAGAAATAGTTTAATGACATTAATGATATAAAGTAGTAATGGTTGATCAAAGTATTTTGTTATTGAAAATCTTTGAAAGATCTTGACTGTTAAGAGAGGTTTAAAACCTTTGTAATATAACTATTAGAGTATGATACATGTACAGATGATTTTTAAAAAATGTCACTAATTGCTTGAGGCCAATTTAATTGTAGATGTTTTAAAAAACTCCATCATTTGTTTCATGGAGGTTTAAAAATGCCATTAAATGCAAAAAACTTCCACTATTTAACTTTTTTTTTTAATGATCTTGGAGAGTCAGCCCTTGACCATCTAAAAATCTTAACTTAGGATGATAATTGTTAAGTAGACAATTAGCACATTATAATTCCCCCTGTGTATTCCTATATTTAAGGGTGCATGAAGCATAAGTAACCTATAAAAATATGTATTTAATATTAATTGATTGTATTGACATATGATACTATAAAAATATTAATTTATAATCTTAACATGCAAGGTTTATTATCATAAAATAAAGTTGAAGTTAATTTATCTTGGATATGTAAATAGGTCTTGAATTCACAAAAGGAAACTTATATTGAATGCTCTTCCTTGTTATTTTATTGTGTAGCTCAATGAAAAACTTCTTTACACCCTTCTTCCTTTTTGATAAATTAATTTAACTCATCAATGTAAAGTTCGTCCACTTTATCATTGACATCCTATAACATAGGTAAGACAAAACAACCATCAAGCATGTGAAGATTCAACAAGATGTTGTTATAACTCCAAACATCAAAATGTGATGAAATAGTTGTTTCAACACCTTGTTGGGACTCAATATACCATGGTAATGTGAATCTGTGTAAAAAATCTTCAACCTAATGGTGGTGTTGGAAAAATTTATGAGATGTTGTGAAGGATGATTCTACTTTGGTTGAAGTGGTATTATGAGGGATGAATGGAGAGTCTTTACATATAATTCGTGGATCAAATATTTTTAATGAGATTAGATATTTTGAAATCATTACAAGTTCTTAGAATTGCTTGGTCAAAGCTCTTTCTATAAGATCCATGTTGTGACAAATATTGAGCAAGGTCCATATGTGTTTAGTTACATGTTTAGATTATGTTTGAAATTCAAGATTTATACATAAATCTTAAACTCCTTTGATGATATTTAATTATTAGTAAATATAACAAATATTATTAAAAGTTAGCATGCAGGAAGCATTTACATTGAATAATGAGAAAAATATTGTCTACTTGTTTCATTTATGTAGTACAAGCACACAACAACAATTGCATCATTCAAGTTATTAATCAACACAAATATAAAAAATAAATGTCATTTACTCTTAATTTATGCATGTTAATATTGCAATGATTTAGGTATGTAAACTCAAAATATTTACTTTGCATATTTACTTAAGGATTATCATGACAAACATTTTAACGTTAATAAACTTGACCATAGTTTATTCGTATTCTTGTTATCTCAACCTAGTTTCGACCATAATTTATCAGTTATCTCTTTCCTCCACTATATTTGATGTGATCTAAACCATAGTTTACTGGTTAGTTTCATTGTTTCAACGTAGTCTTGATTATAGTTTATTGATTAGCCCATAATTCATTACATTTGACCTAAACTTGATGTGACTCAAACATAATGCGACCATAGTTGATTAGTTCCACTTGTCATCCACTATATTTCACTATATTTGATATAATCTCAACCTTTGTTTATTGACCATCCCCGTTGTCCGGACATAATCTAGCTATGACATATTAAATTCTTAATTTATTGAAAACTAAAATTCCATTTACTAAATTGTGGCATAGTTCACCTCTTAGTTGATTCAAAACTAAAATTCAAATTTTAATTTATTTTTGAAAAATCCTTATTACTAAAGTAAAGAAAAATATAAGTTTAGAAATTTGGTAGTTTTTCCATCATATTGTCCATCATGATGTTATCATTTTTCAAAGGGGGTTAATACCATTCTTAGGTTTAACTAAGGTAAACATATAAGAGAATATAACGTCACATTTAACCTAAAACCTTAAGGCTATAGATTTGTGGGTCTTTTTCACTTATATGCTATTTAACTTCACTATTTCTACCCAATACGAGACTTCAACTCATTCAAATTCCAACACATGACTCCCCTCCTATATAATCCTTCTCCCCCCCCCAAGTCTATATTTATCCTCAATAAATCTTAAAGCCCAACACAAACATTATTCTCCATCATGAGTTGTTGGCAAAATTTGGGTCATGTATATATATGATATATAATTTAAATATGTTATGACCATTATTTATTAAGGCAAATAATAAAGTGTTCTGACTAAATTAAAGTTTTGACTAAAGACATAGGTCATGAAAATAAAATTGTGTAGAGATCATAGAGTAATTTCTAATTTGATAAGAGACCAAATTGGAAATACTAAAACTTAAGTAATTAACCTAATTCTGGTTATTTAAGGGGTCATGGTCCCCCTCTAGGAGCACACACACAGAACGTAAGTATCAGTCCCGTTCCTTTATTTCTATCCCCATCAAGAGAGAAAATCAAGAGGGAAATACATGTGTTCTTCAGGTGGAAGAATAAGATCAATATAGTACTCTACAAAGACATCATCATTATGACTAATTCAGGTACGCTTTTCGCATTCAGTTTACAGCATGTTTATCAGCATGAGATTACATTTATGTTTGATCGTTAGAATCAAAATCAGTATTATTATAATTATTAGTTTCCCAACAATTGGTATCAGAGTCGCCCATATTTGATTCATGTCTGTTTAATTTATAAGAACCTTAATTATGAAAATTAGGATTAATTTTGTTTTAAACAATTCAAATTACCCAATTTTATGAACCCTAAGTGGAGAATAATCTTTAATTTTTGTGAACCCTAAAATTTAAATTTGGAGGTAACATCTCTAATCTGATTCTGCTTGCTGATGGAACCGCAGAGGAAGCTATGAATTCTTCTTCTTCTTCGTTTTTCCATTTTGTTTTAGTTTAAGTTTCAAGTTTTACTGAGAAAGAAATAGTGTTTCAAATTTCAATTTTTCTTGTATTGGATTCTCTGTTCTATTTGAATCTTTTGTTTTTGTTTTTATTTAATTTTTTGGGTTTTGTTTTCGTTTTCTTTTCATGGTGGATATGGATGGGTTTGGAATTGGGGGTGGTGTTTGTGGAGTTCCCAAGACAGAGAATCTTAGGTAAATGGTGAATGTTTCCACAGGTGTGTCTGTTCTTATTTTATTGCCTTTAAGAAAAGTTGATGTTAAATTTCCTGTTTAGGGTTTGAGTGATTACTGTTTAATCCCCTTTTAGGGTTTAGAGCAATGTGTTAAAGAGACTCAAAACTATCTCTGTTTCATTCCTAGTGTGATTTTAGGGAGATGTTCATCCTTTATGTATTTGTGGAAAAAGATGTGTTTTTCATCCTTTGATTTGTTCAAAGGAAGTATTCATCCCTAATGATATTCTAGGGAGATGTTCATCCTTAATGGAATTCTAATGAAGTGATTATCTTTTGAATTAGTTTGCAAATATTAAATATTTGGTTTTGTTATATAAATAAAATATTCAATTTTTGGTAGTTTAATATTTTTTGTGAGCAAATTGAGTCAAGAAGTCACCAAAGTAACCTCTCTTGAATTGGGCAATTCATGAAAAATATTAAATGTTAGTGTTTGTGTATATTCATGCGAGTATTAGTCGACCCAAAGGAAGATTAATATTTGGCCGAATTGCATACACACTTGTAATGATAAACATGTGATAATTATAAGAATTTGCTTTGTCGATGATAAATCAATCCAAAGACTAGTTTGTTGTTGGACGTGTTTTATTGTCAATGTTTGATTATTACAACAAGATACCTCTAGCAGTTAATATTATTGTCCAAAGACTTGATATTGATGGTGCATTGGGTGTCTTGAGATGGGTTAAACTATTATTTGAATATTTATAATTTTTTTTATAATGTGAGTATAATTAATTTATTTCTCTTGTTCTTAATTCAGCTACAATTGTTTCTGTATCTGCCAATTTAAATTCTGTTACGACCCTCAAAAATATGTTTCCTACTTTGGTCTGTTCTGAAGTCAATTTAGTGTCAGTACCTAGTAACACTTGGTGGTTAGACTTAGGTGCAACTACTAACATCAGTGTTTCTATGAAAGGTTGCATAAGCTACCGAAAACCAATTGATTTTGAAAGATGGATATATGTTGGAGATGGCAAATTGGTAGAGGTGGAAGCTATAGGGCATTTTAAATTGTTATTGAGTACTGGTTTTTATTTGGATTTGAAAGACACTTTTGTTGTGCCATTATTTAGAAGGAATTTGGTTTCAGTTTCTTATTTGGACAAATTAGGTTATTTGTGTTTATTTAGAAACAATAA